TCCCCCTTTCCCTGCCCCAGAGTAGTTAAACAGACAGACTGTTGCAGCCGGTTGCATCTCACCCACGTCAAGACTTGCCACCCTGGATGGACATTTCTGTAGCAAAGAGGGCAAAATACATGAGCTTTGTAACTGAGCTGTGGCGTCCCAGTCCCTCTGTGCCCTGAGCAGCTGCTTCACACATCCCTGTCCAGAAACGGAAAGTGTTGTGCTAACGCACACAGGAGGATTAATTCAATGGGACGCTGGTGCATGGCCATGCTGGGCTGTCTTCTGAGGGCCCGTAGGCCTCCCCACGCTCAGCCAGAAGTTTGCGGATGAAGGTGCACCGTGTTGTGCAAGGCATTTGGAGGGCTGACATGGGTCTGTTGGCCTAGGAAGTGGAAGAGCTGATGCCCTGTGATCTCAATGGCCTCTCTGGGGCTTGTCTTCACTAAGGACTTCCCACATGAACCCACGCTCTGCCATTGCCAGCAGAGAATTTCAGCAGCAAGGGAAAATGCTCCCTCCATGGCACCAAGAAATGAGCATCAATTTTAATTATGCCCCAAGAGAACACTTGGAAATTAGTTAAGTCAGACACCACTGGGAGATCTCACTGGGGCACACACCCAGTGTCATTATATTGCAACAGCATGTTCAGATGGCACTACCTCTCCAGAGTATGCACTTGTGTGTTGGCATCCGTGGGTTTCAACTCTGGCACAGCTGGGAAAGGGCCAGGAAAGAGGGGCCCCAAAGTGGAGACCGAGGGCTGAGGCTGAGGGTGGAGAGGACTGTTCGTGGTGACTGAGGGGCAGCAGCAGAGCTGTGTGTGAAAGAAACTTGGGGGTCATCATTGACCACAAGATGAACATGAGCCTGCAGTGCGATGCTGCGGCTACAGAGGGCGAGAGGGGTCTGTGGCTGGAAGTGACATGACACACGAGCTGCCAAAGATGGGCTGGGGGTTTGGCAGGAGCTTGGATGGATGGATACGTTGGCCTCAACCCACGAGTGACACACATCACGGGAAATTGCACGTCTAAAGGCACCACCCAATGAATGCTTGTGGAGAAAGCGGACGTTTGCTATTAAATAGTTGTCAGTTTGTATGCCATCTGGCTAGAGTTGTTGCTGGGCTTTTGAAACCATAGTAAAACAATCCAGCGGGCAATTCTCAAGATCCCAGTATGAAAGGGAGTCTGTATAAAAAGTTTTTCACCCTGGGCAGTAACAGCAATTGGGAGCAGTGGCAGTGTCTAGGTCAGCAACAGCCGCCTTCCGTGGATGCGGGACATGCCGTGGGTGTGCATGTGCATCTGTGTGGGCATGTTGGCTAAAGGTGAAGGAAATCAGCACAACTCCATGCTTGTGTACCTGAAAGAGGGAGAGGAATGACTGCCCATGGTGAAGCCATTTCCAAGCTTCATATTGCATGTATCTACGCTCTGCCTTTGCCAGCAGGGAATTTCAGCAGCAAGGGCAAATGCTTCCTCCACGGCAGCAAGAAATGAACAACAATTTTAATTATGCCCCAAGAGTAGACTTGGAAATTAGTTAAGTCAGACACCACTGGGAGATCTCACTGGGGCACACACCCAGTGTCATTATACTGCAACAGCATGTTCAGATGGCACTATCTCTCTTTAGGCCGCTAGCTATCCCCATATCCTGCTTTCCCCCACTCCCTACACCAGTGCAAGCCTTGCTGGGACATGGATCAATCTATACTGCTCCCACAAAGGCTTTCCTAGCATTGACCAGAGTAAGCCTAACCAGGAAACCTGACTGAACCATGAACTCCTTACTTAAGCAAAACTGCAGGTCCTGAGACTTCAGCACTGACAGCATTTCAATAACACCGGATGAGGACAGCAATGAGAGCCAGCCTACATTTGACAGCCCAGAAATGCGAGAGAGTGGAACAGAAACAGGGCCTTGTTACACATGAATTTTAGGCAGCTCAGGGAGCTCTTAACCCCTGGGTTGTCCACACATCAACACCTGGAACTAGTTTTAAGCACACTTTAGGTGGCTTCAAGTTGTGCCACTCCAGGGCATGTTTATCTCTGATCCATGTTATCTAGCTCACGGTCCATGAATGTGTGGACATTCTCCACACTGTCCCAGGAGACCCACTTGGGGAGGAGAGTTGACAAAGTAAAAGCTTATTGGCAGCACCAAGCTAGCTTAGCAGTAGGAGGACAAGATCACACCCCAAGCTGGTTTACACAGCCAGCATAAGGGGTGCAAGCCTGAGATCAGGCCACCTTGGGAGGGAGGGGCTGGAAATGAAGTCTAAACAAGGAAGACTAAAACTCAGGAAGCCAGTTGAAGTCACCTGATGCAAGCAATAATCAAAGAGGTTAAATAAGAGCGTGTGCAGGAGAGTTGGCAGCAACCAGAGAGGAAACCACTGAACAGACCAGCGACTGGAGGCAGCTCCCCCAGGACCTGCACCCCATACACAGAAGGAGCACGTGCGGGAGAGCTCGAGCAACAGACAGAGCCTTTGGGAGCCGGGTGAGAGACCTGGGTTGGGGAGTGCCCGAGTGAGATTCGTTCACTCTGAACAAGGAGGATTTTGTTGTGTTAAAGCAACGACTCATTTTCCTGTTTTTACATTCCCCATGTTTCTGCCCCGGTGGGGCTGCCTCT